GCGGCCCTGAGCCTGCCAGTCTCAAGGGCCTCATCTTCCACTCCGTAGTCTGGAGGGTAGGTCTGTTGTTTCCAGGGACAAATGCTCCCTGGCCATCTCCAAACCCTCAATCTATGTAGAAAACAGGCACCTAGGTGGTCAGTCTCGTCTCCTGGGGCACTGCTCCGGGGTAAGCTGGTTTATCAGGCTACTGGATTTTGCAAGAGTCCTCTCCCCGGAGTGGTAATTAAAGGCACGACCCAGGCAGAGCTGAGCTGGGCCCCTGTCTCGTATGCATAGATGAGAGGCTTGGTTCCCAGAGCCCCAGTGCTCAGGAAGGTAGTTTACTAACCTAACCGACTTGAACTACAAGTTTGAAGTACGTTTCTGGGGATCCTGAAACAGGTGAGCCTATGTCAACAGGCAGCTCCCTTCATCGAGAGCAGAGGTGGGCAAGGAATACTTTCCTTCTGATCCTAATCATTCAGTCTTTCAGTCTGTCCTACAACCACGGTTTTACGAGTGTAAATACAGGAAACGGAATTTGGGTAAATGGAGTAATGATAAACAAGGATGACAGGGACTAGAACTAGAAGGAGTCCAAATTCCAGTGGCCCTGAAAGGCCCCCAGATCTGGGCCTCTGGAGAATGAGTCGAGCAAATCTTAGGCAATGCTCTACATTTGGCTCCATGATGGGAGCAGCCTCTGGCTTTGGGTGAAGCCCTGTGTGCAAACTGACGGGTGAAATGGGACCTGAGTGGATGAGCGGCTCCCACTGAGCAGCCTAGGGGGCCTCATAAGTCAGGCCCAGAAGCATGCCTGTCTTCTACTCTAGTTTGATTAAAAATAAATGCCAGGGACACAAACAGGGTCTGGGCCCTTTCACGCTAAGCACTTGCGACTTTTCTTTGGTGGCATTTTCTCCTGTGGGTGTCAGACAGGACTTGACTTGATGTCTGATGACGGGTCCCGTGCAGATACGGCTGGGCCCTCCTGGAAGAGGGCCAGACGTGCTCATCCCCGACAGCAGAGGACGGCGTGGTTCCAGGAAAGAGCCACGGCCATGTTTCCCTTAAGCCAAATTACATCAAATACTGGTAGAAGCCTAGGGTAAAATATTGTTCTGTTCCACTTCTCATACTGTCTGACAGTCCCTTAGCCACAGGACTGGGGCTAAACAAAGGCAGTTGTTCAAATAATTATAAGCCCCATGTGAAGAGGCTAATTGTTTTAGTCTTGAAGTGTCAATGATTTATAAGCTTGGACCTTCGTCTCTGATTTGTTTTTTCATTGAAAATGTGGAAGAGGGTCTGGCCCTGCCTGGTGGCTGCCGGGCCCGGAGCGGGTGGGTGGTGTCCTGTCGCCCTCTAGTGGCTGCCATGGAAGGCGGGTGTGCTCGCCTGAGGAATGAGCGGAAGATCCAGTCCCCTCCTCCGCCAGGGGGCCTCCCTGCAGCCCACCCCACACGGGAAGCCACCCGCTTCGCTGCCTCCTCGTCTGTCTGGACAGTGTGTCCCCAACACATGTCAACAAGTACCTGTTGAACGAATGGATGAAACTTCTCAGTCAAGTGTTTTTACTGAGGCACCAGGGACCCCTTCAGGAGCCTCGGACAAGCTCTTGCTCTGACCATGCGCTCTACTGGCCTCTGACAGGTTTCACTCTGGCTCCTCTGAGGCCGCCTACACCCCTTGACAGTATTTGAACACCTCGGCCACAGAGGAGAAGAGTTTAGCTATCAGAAACTAAGGACACGCTTTCAAACTCAGTGCGCCATGGCCAGATGGGGCCGTACCCGAAGGTGGGCATGGGGGCCGTGCCACGTGTGTTCACATGGCCCCGGAACGGCATGCTGGCACGTGTCCGGTGGCCAGGGCTTCCCCTTCCTTGGGTGGCTCACCAAGGCTGATTTTGTTCGCTTCTCTGACGTGGTTAGGGCCATAAATCCTGCCCAGCACCCCTGGAGGAGCACAGACGTCCGGGAGTGAGCTACCGCTCAGCTCGCTGGCACATTTTTACTGTCACAGGGGAACGTACTCAGGGGAGAAAAAACACAGGGCAGATGTGATAAACTTGTGGAATCCTTAAGAAGGATGACTTGAGGCTGCGGCGGCCCCTCTCCTGGGGAAGCCCTGCATGGGGTGGGGGGGGCACCTCTCCCAGCCCGCGCTTCTGCCTTGTACCGCTCTCCCCCCTGGAAGAGCCCCCTCCCGGTCACCACCCTCCCCTGGCTCAGTGGGGCAGGTGTGGGTCCCCTGCAGGCATGTCGGAGGATGCGTAGTCCTACCCGGAAATAAGCCAGGATCCGGGCACCTTGCCGGCTGGCAGGGTCAGGGACTCACTGGATTCCAAGCTGCGTCACAGCAGGCCCAGCCCCTTCCTTCTGCTCCCTGACCTCTGGGAAAGCTCCCAAGCGGCACAAACTGGCCACAGAAGACCCAAGGGCCGATCTGTGCCTTGGGCCCTCTGCTTGTATGCCCACAAATGAAGCATTCCACAAACATCACCCCGTGTCCACATGTCCCAGGCCCTGTGCCGGCTGCTGGGGACGCAGAGATGAGGGACCGTCGTTGCCTTCATGGAGTGTGGGGTGGGCTGAAGGGAGGGAAGGCGAGGATTGCCAAGAGCTAAGTTCTGAGTCTGGTGAGGAATGCGGTGCCATGAAAGACATGGGGTCTACGTGGAACCCAGTGATGGGTGGGGAGGGGATGAGCCTGCAGGGTGGTGGGAGAAGAGGGCAAGGAAAGCTTCAAGGAGGAGGGTACACTTGAGTCAGTCCAGAGAGAGGTGAGGAGCTCATCAACCCCAGATGACCGGAGCCTCCGAGTACATGCTTGGTCGCAGCCAGTCTCCATCTTTGCCCTCCACTCCCTGCCCGCTCTTCACCCTCCCCACCAGCCCCTTCCACATTCAGGGAATAAGTCATCTGGGACCTAAATGCAAAAGGGGAAAGGCACTCACACAGAGGGCCTGAGTGAGTGGACGAATGGAGGTCCCCAGAGCCTTTAGAGGGGCCAGGGATCAGTGCAAAATGCAGAGCGCAGGGCGAGCGGGGAGTGGTAGTAAGCCACCAAAATGGTCTGCATGACAGCTGGTGGCGGTAAAGGAAACCTGAAGAATCAGCCTCCGGGCACAGGCATATATTGCTTCCCTGAGATGTGGCACATAAATCACGCTCCAGAGGTGTGGCATCGGAGGCGCTCTGAGCTGGGCGCTCCCTGCAGTCCTGGCCCTTCATTAAGAAGAGGACGCTGAGGGGACAACAGTCCTAAGGACAGGACAGCCCAGCGCGCTGCAGGGAAGGAGAAGACAGGCCTGCGCCTCTGTGCTGACGGGCCCGGAGGCCTGAGGTGCCGGGAGGGGCAGTGACCGGGTCACAGCAGCCTCCTCACGCCAGGGGCTCTCGCTGCTTCTGCTGTCCTGCGTGCCCCTCACGTGCCGCCGCGCCCAGCCCTTCTCTGACCCGGCACGCTCTGGGGCCGTCCTCGCTCTCTAATGAGGACACAGGCACTAGAGGAAGGGAAACCGATGGCTGAGGTCGCCCGGCCAGGGGGGAGCAGTGTCAGAAGGGAGTCCAGACGGCAGCCGCCTCTGGTTCCCTGAGTGAGGGGAGTCTGGAGGGCCCAGGCAGGGCGCATAGCCTCCTGAAAAATACTGGCCAAGGTGACATGTGTCCTTGGCTGGCCAGGCAGGGACACACAGAAGCATTTCCTGGGAATGAAGGAATCAGGGTCAACGCGGGGACCCCTGCCAGTGGCTGAGGTGGACAAGGGCGCTGCGGGGCGGGGGGGCACCCAACATCTGCGAGACAAACCTCCCATCTGGCTGCAGGCAGCCGCCGGGGCAAGCAGGCCCGGAAGGCCTGTGGTCTGCTCCCTGAGCGCCCGTCAGTCCTGTGCTCCGCCTGAGAGCCAGGCGCCCACGGGTGCAGGCGCTCTGGGCTCTCCTTGGGGCCTGTTGGGGACAGAATGTTTGTGCCCCCCGAATCCACACCTTGAAGCCCTAACCCTCTGTGGGGTGGTACTGGGGGGGGAGCTTTGGGAGATAACCTGGTTTAGATGCGGCCAGAGCCCCATGGTGGGGCTGGGCCGGGACAAGAAGAGGAGGAGTCCAGAGCTCCGCGCGAGACAGTGAGAAGAGGGCCGCCTGCAGAACCGGAACAAGCCGGCGTCCTCACCCGGGACGAGAAGCCTCCAGAACTATGACAAGTGGACGTCTGGACCACCTGGTCCGTGCCATTTCGTTAGAGCAGCCAGAGCAGACTAACACACGGTCATATACAAAGGCATCTGATAGGCTCACCATTCAGGTGTGAAAGACCGCCCAGCCCTTTGGTGCCCCCACCCGGGCGGAGAGCCGCATCCGCAAGGAAGAATGATGTGCCAAGACCAGAGCCACAGAAACCCGCTGAGGCCGTTCTCAGCCTTCCCAAGGAAGCCTAGGTGAAAAGGTGTCCTTGACGCCGGACTCTGGGGTGTAGTCAGTAGCCCCTGATGGTAGCAGGGGCCGAGGAGTCTGTTCCCCGTAGACAGCATGGCCCTGGCACACGCAGCTCAGGCCAGAACCCCCCTCCCCAGGGGCAGGTGGGAGGTGGGAAAGCTGCCCAGCAGGGGGAGGCAGAGCAGGGGCACGTCCCTGCCGGCCTGTGCCCAGGACTACGCGAGTGGCGGGCTCGTGCTGACCATTGCGGGCCTCCCTGGGCCCTCAGGGGTGTGGACTGCTGAGAGGAGGGGGAGGGCAGCACTTCCTGTGGACCTGACACAGCTGGAGGGAGCAGGCTCCCCCTGTACCCGGCAGCTGGACCCTGGGCCGTCACCCACTAACCAGCAGCCAGCCTGAATGTGCTCTCAGACACCGGCTGAGAAGCTGGATGGACAAGGTGTGTGTTCTGGAACCCTCCCGCCCACCCCGGGTCACAGGAGCCCATGTTGTGTGTGAGGGGCACACGTGGGCGCTGAGTGGTAAATGATGCGTCCTGATGCTCAGAAGCTTCTTGGCCCGGGGGTGGGGGGTCACTTACCCCTTCCATGGGTGCTATGAGCAGGTCGTACAGGGCACGGAGAGGGGGCCTGGCGAACGAGCTCTGCCTCCGGGGGAGCGAGGAGGCCCCGTCCTTGATGGGCGACATGGCGCTGCTGGCCAAGCTTGTCATGCTCTGGCAGCTCCTGGGGACAGAAGGGCAGGGGGTCAGGCAGGGAGCGCGGTGTGGGGGTTGGGGGTGCCACGCTGCTCGCCCCGCAGCGCTTGGGTCCTGGTCCTGGAGAGGGCGGGTCGGAGGCTGCACAGCAGGGCCCGCCCGGCCTCCCTCCCCTCCTCTCAGGTGACCTGCACAGAAGGGGACCTGCAGAAACCGCAGGGCGAAGCAGCTGCACACAGCAGCCGACATGCCTGCGGGGTTTTCCCGGGCCAGCAAGTGTCGGGAGCGCCGCTCCAAGGGTCTCATCACACCCCGTGTGCAGCGCCTGTGCAGGCTGGCGTGGCCGCTGCCGGGACAGACGGTGCCCCACGGCCGGTCAGTCTCCGGCCGGAGCCGGATGAGACAAGGGGACGCGGGCCCCAGCCCGGGGCTCGGGTCAGCCGCCGCGCACCCGCTGGCCCCGCGCACAAGGCCCAGACAGACCCCGCACAGCGGGCCGGCGGCTGCAGGCTTCTGTTTGCTTTGTAGCCTGTGCTCCAGGGCTGCCAGAGTTTTACTAGTATAGGTGGCATTCTCGAAACAAGGTCCCTGAGGGTCACACTCCCAACACAGGATGAAAACATTCATTTCCTGGGGCGCCTGGGGGGCTGACTCTTGATTTCAGCTCCGGTGGTTCCGTGAGCTGTCAGCAGGAGCCCAAGGAGCCTGCTTGGGATTCTCTCACTTCCTCTCTCTCTCTGCCTCTCCCCTGCTCTCTCTCTCTCAAAATAAAGAAAGAAACCTCAGGGGAAAAAAAAGTGTTTTCTGAGCACCAGCTACCTGCCAGGCACGGCTGTCGGCCCTGGGGACCTACAGAGGACATGCAGCACAGGTGAGCCCAAGAGAGTGGGCGGGAAACCCGCACACTGACCATGAAGGGCCAGGCCGCCCCCACCCTTCCTCCTGAACCTGCCCTGCCACTCGGCCAGAGGGGCCTCAGCACAGCCCCGGGACATCTCTGCGCGACCGCTGGACAGTCAGCGGTCTCAGCCTTGGCCCAGACTCCACGAACATTTTGGAGTTTCTGCTACGCACTCAAGGGCCTTAAGGGGGAAAGACCAGGTCTGACACGAGGCCCACCTCCAAGAGCCTGACCGCTCCCTGAGAGAAGACGGGAAGGCAGCGCTCCCTCCCGGCCTGGACCCAGGCTATCTAAGGAAACGATGTGGAGGGTCTGTTGGTGTGTTCCAGGTAGAGCTCTACCCCTGGCTTCCCCCCACCCCCCTCAGTGTTTTTGGCAACGTCCGCCCGACCTAGATTCTAGGGCTGTGCCACGCAGAGCTGTGAGCGCCCCGGCACCCCCGCCCCTGCAAACGGAGGGAGGGCAGAGGACTCGGAGGCGGGGGAGCCCGCTCACGTCCACCCTTCTGTCTTCTAGCTCAGGAAACGTGTCATTACAAGCGACTGGGGCTGCGGCGGCGTGTCTTCACTGTCAGAGCCAGCGGAGCGGAGATAACCCTGGAGTGACACTCACAGGCTCTCTTAATTCCGCGGCCCCCACGGCGAGGAGAGGTGCCCCCCAAGGAGAGCGCCAAACTGCTCTCCATAGGAGACGTCCTGGCGGAACGCGCGGTGTCTGTCATAGGCCTGTGCGTGCTTGCATTCCCGGCAGACAGAGATCACGGCCCAGGAGCCCGCGCTGCCAGGGGTCAGCAGGACAGGGCGGCGACTCTCCGCTCGGTGCCCTCTCCCTGCGCCCTCCCTCTTCACTCCTGGGAGAGGCCTCTGCCTGGGTGGTGGGCCTATAACCCCACAGGATGCCTCGGCGGAGTCCGACTGGTCTGGCTGCAGGTGTCCAGGGCAGGTGCTAGGTCCCCAGCCGATGCTGTGGGCACAGGTCTCCACAATGACCGCCGCTGGGGCCCCCCACAAATCCCAAGGTTCTGAACTAACAAGCTTCTGGAGAAAGAGCCCCCGTGAGCTGCCCTCTGGGCTAACAAGAGACCAGTGTAGTCCAAGGGCACGGGGAGCCCCACGCATACCACTTACTCCAAAAGCATAGAACCACATGCTGACAGTGTGAGGTGCTGCCGTGTGCGTTCCGGAAGCAGCCAAGGAAGCGCCGGGGAGGAGGAGGTCTGGAGGGAGCTGGAGGTGGGGAGGTGCCTGGGGAACAGACCCGCTAGGTGCACATCCCAGCCTGGGCCGCTGGGCCTGGCTTTCTGCGCCTGCACAACTGGGAAGTGCTGCCCACAGGCCCCAAGTGGCAGGACGGGAGAGGGCCGCGAGGCACCCGGCACCGCAAGTCACTGTGAGTCTCAGCTGATGGGACAGCGAGGGAGGCAAAGGCCTGGGCAGGAGGGTGTGATCCCAGAGCGCAGGCACAGATGGCATTTTATTGAAACCCATGCAGTGCCAGGGGCATCTAAAGGGCCTGACGATGCTAACCTATTCCACTCATGGCACTGCCCGCCGCGGGCCAGGCCTGCAGGTCCCTGCACGGGCCACAGGAAAGGGAACGGCTCCCTCAAAGGTCTGGGGGCCCCAAGTCACAGGACGCTGACCAACTGCTGGTCAGCAGAGCAAGGGAGGGCTTTCTGGGAGACGGCCATTTGACGCAGGCACCATCATCTGGAGTCAGCTGCCCGTGGACAAGGTGGAGAAGGCCATTCCAAGCTGAGGGAATGTGGGGAATGGCACAGACGTGGGGATAGAGACTGAGGTCACTGGGGCAGTGAGTGTGGGGGACACACGTGCCAGCTGGGCCTGCGGCTCCGGGGCTGTGCTGCGGGGAGACCAGGACCCTCCGCAAGCATCAGGCCTGTCTCAACAGGGAGCCCCTGGGCCCAGGCTAGGTCCTTCCCTGGGACGACCAGAGGGGCCCGTCTGAATCTTTCCCTGGGAACCTCCCCCTTAGTCTCTAGGGCTGGGCCTGGCTGAGCAGCCACCATCAGGCTGTGTCACAGCCCCCCCACCCCCATCCCCACCCCTAGCTCTGGGGAGAATCAGTCAGAGGTCCTTGGCCAGGACTGAGAGACACATGGACAATCAAGGCGCCCAATTACTCTGAGGCAGTTTCCTGGGACACCCTCTAGGGCAGCTGTTTCCAGGTAGTGCAAATTTCTCACGAAGCAGGACCCGGGCACCCCAGGCCACACAACCCGCCAGTGGAGGCCCCATGTCGGAGCCACAGCGGAGCCACCCTGCCTGCGGCTCCTGACTCTCCCAGGCTGTCGAGCCCACCCCCACATCCTCTCTCCTTCCTGACTTCTGCCCTTGGACGCCACGGGAGGCCGCCTCGCAGATGCTTGCCCCCGTCCCTTGCGAGGCCCGGTGTGTCTCAGATGAACGTCTCTGGAGCCCCAGCTCCCTGGCACTGACCCTGGCCGGGCCAGCCTGGGCAGGCATGCCTGGAGCCGAACACGTGGCGATGCCCCAGAGATCGAGCCTCTGACCTGTCCTATTCAGTGGAAAGCACCTATCCCCAGAGATACCATTTTCAAAGTAAAAACAAAAGCCAAGAAAATAGTTTGTGTTTTAAAAAAAACCTGACCAACCTGAAATCACAATTTGAGGTCAAAGTAAATGCATTTGACTTTCTTTCCCTGAACGAGAGGCATCTGTGGCTTGAACTCAAGCCGGCTGCCGTGGGGGCTCCTGTGTCTCCTGCAGGAAGACGGCTCTGGCGCCGCCCCCCCCCCCCAAGGGCTGCCCCCTGGGCGGCAGCATGTGCTGGTCACTATCAGACAGCTGGCCCGGGGGGCAGGGGGGAATCGGAGCACAGCTCACCGAGGCTAAGAGCTACCAGGGCCTCCTGAGGTGTAGGCCTGGGGGGTTGCGGGCCAGGACCCCGGTGGTGGCAGTGCCACTGCCACCCCATGTAGACTTCAATCAACGAGCCCCCCTTCACGTACTGCTTCTGTTTTCACCACAACACTTAACGGTGACCTCCCACAGCTATTTACTGGGGTACGTCTGCTCAGACATCTGCATAAAGGCCTATTGGATAATTCAAAACAGCCAAGCGGGCGGCTCCTCGGCCCTGAGCCTGGGAACGCTTACCCACAGCAGCAGACCTCCTGGTGGCCTCTGTCCCCTCCTGGCCATGGGGCTCTGGCAAGTGCGTCACCCTCCTATCTCCCCCTTCACCTTGCTTGTAAAAGGAAGGGGTTGGACTAATGTCCTTGTGGGTATCTTCTAGTCTTAATAATAAATTAAAAATCTACTCAGTCTAGGAAACTGGTGAGACTGTGCTTTTCTGCCCCCTGTGGTGACCGACAGGGCACTGCCCCAGCCCCCAGAGCCCGGGGCTTGGCAGCCCCCTCTGTGCTCACCCGGTGTGACGCCAGTCCCAGGGAGAGGCTCGGAGACACGGCCAAACGGCAGCAGGTCCTGAGGCTCTGAACCCCGCCGGCAGTGGGTGGTGGGTGTGAAGGGGCACATGGCATGATGCGCCCCCTGCTGTCCTTGCGGGCACACCTGCCTCCTTCCTGGCGTGGCCACCACATGGTAGAGAGGCCGTGGGCTGGGCTGGGGTCCTCTCGGTTACTGCACTGCTTTGCCTTCTGTGGGGCCTTTCAGCCTTGGCTGACTTCTCTGTGCCTCAGAAATCTGACCCTAAGACAGAGAAAAGTGCTTTCCACTTATCAGAACGGGAGTGCTGACCCAGATGCAGACGATTCCCACGGGGCAGGGGTGTGAGGGGCGCATCTAGGCACCTGCCACACCGGCCATGCCCACGTTCCCCTCTCCGGGTCTCAGGGGGCATGGTTGCTCCTCCTTTACCGACAAGGAACCAAGGCTCCCAGAAGGTCAGAGACCAGCGCAAGGACACAGAGTGGGGGAGGGGGAGGGGCTTCTGACCAGCGACTGCCGGCCTGCACCTGCCTCTGGCCCCCGCCTGCCCCGCTACTGGGAACGAGCTGGGAGCTGACAGCCGGGAGCCTCCCCTGGGAGCCGCTCTACTTCTCTGGGCTTTTCAGGATCCACAAGGAGGGGCCAGGCTGCCAGGAGCCATGGCTGCAGCACCGCGCTGCTCCAGCAGGTGGCACTGGCCCCCTTTCCTCAAGGCCTGTCCGTTTATTGCCAGGGACCCCATGGGGCTAATCGACCCACTAACTCTCAGCAGAGAGATTTTCTCACACCACACCGTCTTTATTAGCTCATTCCTCAGATGACTTTTATTAATTTACTCCTGGAGAAATATTCGCTTTCTCCACCGCATGGCTGTCTGCGTGGCGGCGGGAAAAGGAGAGCGGGAGAGCTCAGACCCGGGGAGAAGGGAGGCCGCCGGGCAGGGCGGAAGCTGCCGGGCCTCTGCGCGCACAGGACGCGGAGCAGGGGATGCCGTGTGAGGCGCTGCGAGCAGGGCAGCGCCATCGGGGTGTAGTTTATGTCTCTGCAATGATGACAAACGCCAGGCGGCCGGGCGGCACTCGCCGCTCATGAATCTCCCTTCGGGGATGAAGAGATCTATTCCCCACGCGGGGTGATTTATAACTGGGATGGGCGCCGCAAAAGCCCGTGCGCGGGGACGCTCGGGCTCACACACGCCGACACAGCGCGCGCCGTGGCCGTGCCGGCGCTGGGTGTGTGCCTGCCGGTGTGAACGAGCCCAGCATGAGGGGAGCCAGTGAGGGTGGGATCAAACCGCAGCGCCGCGTGGACACCAAGCCAGGCGACCTCCCGTCAGGGCTCCGCTGGGGGCGGGGGGGGGGGGGGGGGGCGGTGGTCACTGTGCACACGGCTGGCCGCGCCAGGCACCCCCACCGCAACACACACACATCGGTTCTGCGCTTTCTTATCCAAACATGGAGAGCGGACCGAGCAGGTGGAAACGCCCGCTCAAGCCTGACACCTCCAGGAACAGCCAGTCACCGGGCCTGGAGATCCCGTCCCACTGTCCCTGCTGCACGGAGTCAGGAACCAGCAGCCGGAGCTGAGCGCTACCCTCGCCGCATGTGAGCAGGCCGGCTTTGGCTTTCCCCACATGCAGTGGGACCCGAACCCTGGGAGACTGGGAATAGGACCCCCTCTGGGGAGGGGGGAGGAGGCAGGAGGCCTGGCGCCACCATGGAGTTCGCTCTCCTTTCCCACCTCCTTCCTGAGCCCCACCCCTGCGCTCTCAGTTCCCACCAGGCACTCGGTGTGTGTGTGTGTGTCGGGGGGGCATCTTTCCATCCAGGTGTAGGGCTGTGGAGTAAGCTCACCAGGAACACTCACTGCAGGGCACACCCAGCCCTGGCATCCTCAGCACCAGCAGGGGTGGGGGCAGGAAGGGAAGTACCTGATGGGGGCCTCCTCTGGGGTGGGTGCTCCTCTGCAGTGCAGTCAGGCAACAGGAAGCCTGCAGCCTGGAGGGGGGCCTGTGTTCTCTGGGGAACCCAAGGCCTGGAGCTATTTCCATCTCAGGGCCCGAACTTCCATCTGGAGTGCACTGTCCCCCCCTCCCCCCAACCGTGGCCGACCCTGCACGGAGGGCCGCTTTCCCGGGACCCTCTGTGAGCGGACCCGGCCTCCAGGTCAGGGCTGTGCAGGGGGCAGGGAGGAGGGAGGAGACTGCTCCCCATGGAGGGGAGCCTGCTGCAAATGTGGCCTCATTTTCTCAGCCATCTTTCCTCTTCAGCTCAAGCAAGGGCTCCTCACCCTCCCGGGGTGTCTTCATCAGACATTCTCACTTTCTAACAGCTACTTTGGGCAGCTTACTGTCTGTGCTCACAGCTGCACGGGTGAGTCAGGCTGCCTGGTCCCCGGGGGAGTCCTGCCTCTGCTCCTCTCAAGCCTTGAGAGCCCCTCCACCTCATCAGTAGGGGCTTCCTCACAGCCAAGCACTGCCCTTGGGAGAGCCCTGGGCAGACGGTGTGTGGAGCTGTGTGGTTCCGGCCTCCCTGCCCTCAGCCCTGCCCAGGACGCTTGAAAATCCCCTCGAGGACTCCGACCTCTGGACTGAGTCTTCTGAGGGATGGGAGCTGGCTTGAGATTTGAGCAAGTACCTGGGGTGTAAGGTACCAGTGGAAGAATTTAATTGGCAAATCCATTATATTCAAGTAGCCAGAGATGGCTCAATTCAATTTACAAAGGACTCTGATACCATTCAGTGACTCTCTGCTGAACATCTTCCCATGAAGGGTTGTCTCCTCTGGGAGATGAAGGCTGTCAAATGCATTTTAAGTACTTATTCAATAAGCTGTCGGCACTTTCTGCCTAGTCCCCTCCTTAATTACTGAGCGCCTGGCTCTCCAGATCTGGCTCCCTCCTCAGGAGAAAAGCCACGGGGCTGGGTGGGCCCAGGCAGAGACCCTGGCTTCCCATCAAGGCTGGCTCCTCTTTAGCTCAAGGCCAGCCTGGGGCCGCACATGGCTTCTTCTCTCCTCTTGCTTGGAATGTTGGGTTTGCATGCAGGTTCATGGCCTAGGTGAATGGCTGTGACACTAAGCTCTACCAAGAGGGCTTGGGCCCACCCTCCCCCACCTGGGGTGCTGTGCCGTGACCATGTGCTCTTTGTTGTGATGCGCATGAGGCTCCATGGCTGCGCCTGCAGATGGTCACCTCGGGAAAACCTGATGCCCAGGCCACCTGGCATGGGCCTTACCTCCTGACCACAGTCAGCGGTTGGGATAGATGGCCCAAGCCAGGCAGTCAGTGGGGGGACAGGCTTATCATAAGCCCTGGGACAGAGAGAAGAAAAGACGATCCTGCATGTGGTGGCCTGTCTAACTGATGCATGTCCAGCAACACAGGGAAACCCTTCTCCAGAGGGCCTTGCCCCCATATGCGGTTTGTGAGCCAGCCTTCCCCCTCCCCTGTACCTAATAAGCCTGAGAAGTCTCACCTACTGGCTTATAAAGAATCCCCAGAGCCATATTAGTGTTGTTCAAAGATAGAAACAGGTAGTGAGCTCCCTGTCACTGGAGGAGTTCAAGCAAAGGGAATGATCATGTGGCAGGGGTGTTAGATGGCTAGTAATCTGGGGCATGAGCACTGTCTTTGTAGAGGGGCAGACCTGGATCCTAATGCTGCCTCTGTTGCTTACTAGCTGTGTGACCTTGGACAACTAATTTGGCTTCTCTGAGCCTCAGGGCCCTCATCTATAAAAAGGGGATGCATTGTACCTGCCATGGCTGTTGTAGGGATTGACTCAGATAATACATGTAAAGCACTAAGCACAGTGCTGGGTTCTTGGTGAGTAATGAGTAGTAGTTGGGTAGTTTATTTGGTCTTTCTGGCTGTAAGGGGAGGAAGCATCAAGCTCTCTAGTCAAGTTCTGGGGTAGAGAGTCTGTTCACCACCCCCCACTCCAACCACCACACACACAAAAGGGTTATCGGTGCCATGGAAACCTCAGACCTGGGTGGGGACAGAAGGAAACTGCTTACTACACAGCAGATCTGTCTGTCATCACACTGGTGGCATCCTCCTAACACCTCCCACTGTCATCCCCAGTTTCCAGATGGAAAAATAAAAGGCTCCAGGTCACCCACTACTAAAAGTTCCCCAATCCAGGAGTGCCTGGCCCCAAAGCCCCAGGCCCCCTCCCCGCCTGTGCTGCACCACATTGCCTAGGCGCACGGACCACGGCTATAGCCAGAGCACCGCCTGTGTGGGGCCTCCCGGTGGGCGGCAGGCCTCTGTGGCATTGCTGCAGCCTGCTTTGGGCGGCGCTGGAGGCCCGTGTGATATGGATGTTTATAAAGAACCGGAGCCAAGCATCCATGCAGACCCACGCAGGACACAAATGCAGAGAAACATGGGTCTACATGCTTTCCGGTGTACTGACTGGGCTGAGCTTGTGGAGTTAGCCTTATTTCCTCCCCAGGCCTCTAGGAATCTGGGGCACAAGTGGTCCCCAGCCTCTTCTCCGGTGCACATCTCATTCCGTCTCACCTCCCCTGCAGACCAGCCTTTTTGCTCATGAAATTGAAGGTCAAGGGCAGGCTTTGGAGCCCTCCTCCCTCCCCACTGCCAAGGCCTGACTCTCTGGGGTTGGGGAGGGGGCCTGGGGAAGGAATCAAGTGCTGCCAATGCCCCTCCAGGTGACTCTCTGTCCCCAACACAGGGCAGCCAGACCTGGGGGGTGGCCCCCCAGGCCCCCCAGGCTGCACCCCCACGACTCTCATTGCTGAGGTGCTCTGCCCAGCAGATGGCCCCTCAGTGGCTGAGTCCACGTGACAGACCTATCGGGAAAGGCCCATGCGGGAGCCACACTACACATGGCTGTGCAGAACATGCCGTGGCCGCCCGCTCTCACCCGGGCTCCTCTCCCTGCCCCACAGTCAGAGGAGGCTGGTTTCCCTGGGATGGTGACACTCCCCTCGCTTCTTGCAGGAACCCAGCCCTTGTGAGGATTCTCCTGGGGGCAGAAACCTGAGGGAGGGCCCTGGCCCCTTACGTCCCCTCTCTCTAGGATGAGGACACTTAACACTTCTTTGTCCACCACTTAGGCTCCAGCCACTCCTCTCTGGGCAACAGGGAAGCCCCTCGGCACGCTGTGTCACACGCACAGCCGCGTGTGTGGAGAGTGAAGATGCAGGGTGCACACTGTGCTGGTGGCAGCAACAGAAATCAGAACATTGCTCTCTGGGAGACCTGGCCTAACTGACCCTGGACGGGCACAGCTTCAATGCCAAGGTGCCGCCCCGGGACCCTGAATCCAGATGAAAGCTGTCCAGTTCTTCCCCCGCTTTCCTGTAGCAACTGTGGCCCGAATGCCCCCAGGTTGAGCCCCACATGCGTGCGCATACACACGCATGCACACACATATACACACACTCCTCAAACACACATACCCTCTACCACACATGCATGGGCGCTGGCTTTCCAGCCCTCAGCACAACTTCCAGAACATTCTGCAGGCTGAGGGGCAGCGTCTCTGAGGCCTGCTTCTCTGTCGTGTGGGCCCGCACCAGGGTCTGGGTGCTAAAGGAGAGAAGAGTCCTGCTTTTTTATCATCAGGGGTCCCTGCCCTGTACTCAGGTGTCTTCTACCAAAGTGCACGGGTGAGAAGAAACCAGTGCTGTGGAGGCCTCAGGCCCACAGACAGAATGAGGAGCCAGCCTGGGGAGGCAAGGAGAAGACTGATGCCAGGCCTCATGAGACGCACCAGCCGCGGCAGCCTTGCTGCCAGACCGGTCCAGCAAACCACAGCCCGGAACAAACAGGCCAAAGAACCCACAAATCACCGAGCCGGAGAGCCCCGGGGAGGGAGCCAGTGCTGGCCCCTGCGCACGAGGCCCTGCACACATGGCTGCCTCCACTTCACCTCTGCAGGCTCTTGGAGGGCGGGGGGGCGGAGGGGGGGAGCACTCTGCAAGTCCTTAGTATCAGGAGTCTGCAAAAGCCACTTAGCCGTTTCTGTTCAGAGACAGAGCAGCTCCCCTGGTGGGATGTCGATGACATCGCTGGGCATGGAAGGGGCAGGGAGGGAGGCCTGGGATCCAGGGCAGGGCACTTGGTAGTGGTTGAGGTGAAGGGGACGGGGGGGGGGGGGGGGCGGGGGCTGACAGGGCAGCTGGGACGCCTGGCCTGAAATCCAGCTTCGGCACTGTTCCCGTGTGGGCCTCTGGCCCCTGACCCCTGGGTGCCCCTCAGCTGTGAAAATGCAAGGCTGGACTGGATGTTAGCAAGGGCCTGCGCTGCTCTAGCTGACAAGTGTCCTTGTCATCTCGTGTCATCTCGTGGTCCTCGGCATCTGTGGTCCCTTCCTTAGCTCTGTCCCCTTGGGTGGAAGCCAGAACCTCCTTCCTGGGAGCACTGGGGAGGGGGAGGGGGGCGGCAGAGGGCACTCGGCAAACTGTCCTGGGCCTTATGGGCTGGCTGCATGGAGCCTGAACAAACACGGGCTGTCTCCCTCATGCATCTGCCCTCCGAAACCTCTAGAAGGTGAGGATGGGAAGTGTCTGTGGATGCTGCTGAGGGAACTAAGCGTGGAGCAGTGGGCAGCAAGGCCCAGGCTCCCCACCCAGCCCCAAGGCTGGCCCACCTTCAGCTGAGACTGCACTGTGTAAATGAACCAACAAATTAATCCATACTATTGCACCCATCGGACCTATGTCAGAGCAGATCTGAAGGACAAAAACCATTTTCCCAAAACGAGCAGCTCCCTGACCCACAGTTCATACCCCTTGCCACCTAGGGATGCTGACCTAGGGTCTCAGCCCTGAATGCAGGGCTCCCGACCACTGGCCATGGACGCCTGATGGCCCGCCCTTACCATTCTCTCATGTCAGAGACCTGAGGTGAGATCAGAAGAGGAAGGGCAGGTGAGGCCACGGCCCTAGGTGGCCGCCATCTGCTGCACGCAAGTCTTATCCCTTTCGAAGTCTATCCCCCCTCCTTATCTTAGGAGTTCCAGCTTAGCACTGTCCTTCCCACTTTACTCAAAACCGTAGAACACCGCCAGGGGTACGGTGCCTCCTCTGCACTGGGGGGCCGGCCGGTGTGTTATTTATATATCAGCTCCTTTAATACCCACGGTCAGGGAACGCTTCAAGGTAAAAAGCCTGTCCCCACTCTGGGGATGAGGAAACGGCCTGGCACCGTTCACACAGCTGGTGAACAGCAAAGGCAGGACACGAGCCCTTCACGCCATAGTCCCCAACCACAATGGCATCACCTGGCAGTCAAGAGTCACCTGCTTCCCAGGCAGAGATGCTGACAGAGGGGGATGTGAGCCCATCTGGCCACGTCCCTACACGAAACAAAACGGACGGGGAGATAAACCAGCCTGAAGCTGTCGTTCCCTCCAACCAGGCTGCCAATTCCTACATCCCCAGCCCCTGGCTCCCGTCCCACATGGCAAGCCCTTGGGAAAGTAAACATGCATTTGTCACCTCGACAGCACAATAACGGGAGGAACCAGGGCCCGTAGCTGGAGCGGACAGGGCAGACCATGTACAGCAGGGCTGCCAGGCCGGGTCCAGTCACTTCCCTCCTGCGTTCCAGGCTTGACCTGCTGCCCTTTAAAGTCAAGGCTGTGGCAGGGAACCGAGAGTCTGGGAGGTCTTTCTGGAAAGGTTTATCTAAATATGACTCCCAGATTGTGGCCAGGACACCAAATGATAGCGGGACAGCTGCCCCTCACCCCACTGCCTGCCCCCGTTTATCTGGATGCAGCTCGGCTATTACGCCTGATGAAAAGATACAAGGGTGTGCTGGCTGGCAAGTTTAAGCCCTTTTTGTTCAAGTACTAGAGAGACTGGGTCTGAGGTTGGATGGCTGGGCTGGGGTCTGGACAAGTTCTCCTCCAAGGAGGGCTGGCATCCCTGCTGTCCTTGGCTTCCCTCAGTCCCCGGTGCTGGCCCACAGGTCATTGACAGAGGGTGGCCGAGAAGTAGCTGGAACTGTTCCGTCCGGATTCTGCCTGTTGTTGGGACAGCCGGCCCCTGGACCTCCCACCCCACACAAATGCAGACTGCCACGTCCAGCCTGTCACGTTTTCCTCACACGACCCAGGGGTGCCGCTGTGGCCCCGAGGCCTTGACCAGCGTGGGGCTGTGGAAACTCGTGCCACGGGCCAGAAGCCCAACTGGCAGGAAGGGGCGGCGGCTGGAAGCTGCGAGCCCGCAGCCGGCTGGAGGACAGAGGCCGCACGCACCTGTTAAAGAGGTTGTTGCGGCGGACCATCCGCAGAAAGCCAGTGGGGTCAGTAACCGAGTTGAGCTTGTTGTTCATCTCTTCAAACTGCTGGTCTGTGAGGTCCCCGGCTTCGCTCTCAGTCTCGCTGCTGGCGCAGGGCCTGTGAGGGAAATCGCGGGGTAAGTGGATCAGAGACAGACATGCTCAGCGGCAGACGCCTGCGCGGGGGTCCAGTGCCACCTCCCTGCCCCACGGAGGCCCCGTACAAGGGCCCCCCTGAGGCGGGCGTGGCCTGGAGCCCCTTTGACGTCCCTGCGGCCCCCTTCCCTCCTCAGTGGAGTGCTTCTCAGGATGTGTGCCAGCTGGCGATTGCTGGCTGTTGCCCCCACGTGGCTGTGAGCTCTACAGCAGGTGCCGCCCGAGTTGCGCTCCGCATCCAGACACCAGGCCGCAGGAGGTGCTCAACAGCCAGAGCGGAGCCCGGGGCCCAGGGCCATGTGCAAACAACCCAACTCATGTGCCTGTCTAGCCTGTTCCAGAAACGGTAACTAGGCGCCTGATGTGTGCCAGGCACCATGCCACGGCCACGGGACATGCGGCCTGAGAAGGCAAGTTGCCCATGGGGACATGGACACGCCTACAAGTGGCTGCAATGCCGGACAGAGCGGCCTTGTCTGAAGTGCAGGCTTGAGAAGTGTTGCTGATGGGGGCCCATTCTGTAAGCTCACCATGAGGATATTGCAATTTTCAAATTAATAAATTCCTATTTCCCCTATGACAGACTGCAACAGAACATCTACGATGGGGTTTAAATAAACAGAAATACCCAAGGGGTGCCTAGATTCATCAGCATGATTAAAATGACCAAAGGCTTATGAACCGTAAAAGCGGAACACCTGTGGCCCGATGTGACCCAGAAGGTGGGGGAAGGAGGCAGCACGTCTGAGGCAGCGCTGCCCACCTGGGGCCTGCCACCCCCTTACACCTCACAGGTGTGGCGACACTTCACAGGGCCCTGAGGCTGACACAGCAGCCCTGGCTTCCTTCCTTCGGCGTGAGGGTCACACTCAGACTTTGTGGAAATCCAGCCCACAGGTAGCCCCCAGCCCCCAGACGATGACTTTGCTTATGGTCTCCGGCTGACTAAGAGCCAGGGTGGAAGACAGAGGGCGTCGGGCCCTGGAGGACAAGGCACCAGGCACAAACCTCTCAGTGCTGCAGAAGTGGGGCCTAGAGAGGGATGGGCGTCCTGTCACCCAGAGGGGACAGGTTCTGCACATCAACATGTGGGTTTAAGGTGAACCTGACCTGCTTCAAACAGGCTGGTGAACCCGTGCCATCAGAGTGTCACCACAGGAAGGGCAACGAGCCCCTCACTGGGTCGTTGAAGCCACACAGTATGAGAAGCTGCCAGAAAGGCTTCAACGGTCTGTGTGAACGTCAAGGCTGCTGTGATGGGCCAGCCTGACTGGGTCCCCCCCCCCCCCCCCCGGCCCTGGCATGACTCTGGGTGTGTCTGGATGAGATTAACATCTGAATCTGAGGACAGGAAAGCAAACTGCCCTGCCTACCATGGGTGTCCACAGCACCGAGGGCCTGAACAGAGCACAAAGGCTGAGTAAGAGAGGATTCCATCTCTCCCTGACCGTCTTCAAGCCAGGACATCTGTCTTCTCCTGCTTTCGCACCTGGACTCAGACTGGGACTTACTCCATTGTCTCTCCTGGGTCCTAGCGGGCCGACTGCAGACCTTGGGACTTCACAGCCTTCATAACCATGTGAGCCAGTTTCTCGTAACAAGCAGGTGTGCGCGTAGGTGTGCGCGTGTGTGCGCGCGTGTGTGTGCGCGTGCGCACGCGTGCAAGCACCCTATTGGTTCTATTTCTCTGGAGAACCCAGACTGGCCCAGCCAGTAATTAGGCACCAGAGCCCCGACTCAGCCATGTTTCTCACAGAAGGCTCCCAGGACCGAAGCCCTAAAGGTTCTGAGAGCGGAGTGGTCTTCAAGCAGGGCACGGAGGCCTGCCTGGCGGGCCCGCCACCCCAGAACTACGCCAGCAGCCAGTAAGGCCACTAGCCTGCGTTCCGGGCCCACACGATCTGAACGGCCCAGGGCCTGGCATGCAGTAAGTCTGCGACAGGAAACTGGTGAACGAATGAATGGCTTAAGCTGGAGAGCGCTTTATAATATGCAAAGTATTTTCCATCTCATTGTCTGTGACGTGGCTCCTATTGTCTCCATCTTACTTCTGAGGAGACTGAGGTTTAGAGAAGCCAAGGAACTTGGCCAAAGGGCCCCAAGTGGTAGAGCCAGGCGTGAGCCCAGGTCCTTGGTGTGGGCTGGCCCGCTTGTCCTCTCCCGCTAAGGCTCCAAGCCTGTCCCTCCCAGCTGGGGTCTGACTAGGAGGGGGAAGGGGTGAATGCAGGAAGCAAGGGAAAGCGGGAGCCATCTGAGCACCTCCACAAATCACCGAGGCTCCCATCCTGCTGGAGCAGGGAGCGAGCTTGCATCCCGCTCTCCGCCTCACGGGCAGCAGCTGAGCAGGCGCGCAGCTGCAGGGTTGAAATGCTCTCCTGGGGGCTGAGGGCCCTTCACAGAGACCCTGGTAAATATCACTCAACAAGCCCCTCTGTCCAGGGACACATTCATCACGAACGTGACTGCCTGCTTGGAGCTGAGAGATCTGCTTGTCATTCAGGGCTCTGAAAAGGGGAGAAGAATCGGCCGGAACCGGTATCAGCCTCCTTTATCTTGCAGTTCCTCTCTCGCTGTCAGCCGCAGACAGAGCCCTCAGAAGCTCATGCTTAATGGGGTTGTTTCCTACTTTCTGACCCTTCAGAGTATTAACACCGAAGGGAAAAACAAACAGGCCATGTCACAGACAAAAGGGTCTTCCGTTCACAAAGCGAGCCTCGTCTCCACAGCAGGGGTCCCAAGAGTGCCCTGGTATCACGGCCACCCCCGCCCCCACTTCTCTGAGAGACCTTCTAGAGACGGCACATCTCCCAGTCTGATTCCATGCACCCTGACTCCACAGTGACTGCTGAGCAGGACCTGTGTGCAAGGATGGCAGGGGCTGAACAGAGGAGGGTCACACCACACCTGCCTTCAAGGCATTTACGAGCTCGTATGACTAGTGGCTACTGGCTAAGGTGGATTAAGAAGGAGCACACGGAGGCCACCAGCCTATGACCAAGACAGGGGGGGCATAAAGGCATCTGCTGCAGCTGAGCGTCTCCTGAGGAATACAACTCTGATGGGCAGAGACTTGGGGGGGAGTGCTTCCAGGCAGAGAGAATGGGATGAGCAAAGGTGTGGAGATAAGAGTGTGGGAGCTCTTTGGTGCCAAGGGGAGAGCCCAGTTGACCTGGAGCAGAAGGTACGAGTGGTAAAGGAGGAGGAATAAATGGTGGAGGGCTTGGAACTTGGAAGGCAGCTGAGAACTGTCAGCCCAGGCCTCCGAACAGGGGGTGACGGGCTCAGGGCTGCCTTTTGGGAGATAGTCAGCTGGGCCAGAGAGGAGGATGTGGGATAGCGGGGTGGCTGTTACTAGCACCCGTTCAGAAGCAGCCCTGAAGGCCCAGGGTCAAGCTCACTGAAGCCTGATCATTCCCAGGACACCCACCAGAAGCCCCATTCTCGGGAGCTACTATTGTGCTAACATGCCTGGGCCTCAACAAGCCAGGTGAGGCTCTGGCTCTGGGCTCTGACATCTGGGCTCTAAAATCTTGATAGTGGCTCCTTCCTCTGCTCTAAGCCTCTGACGCCTGTCTCCCCTAGAAACAGACTCTCTGGGCTGGCTCTCCCCACTTTTGGTTCTCTATATTGTCACCAGCATGGTGACACCATGGCTTGTCCTGTGGTTGGGCCAGCCCCATTAGTCCACACATATGAACTAGGGTGGCAAGGAGATATATGAACTAGAACTGACAGGAGAAATGTTACCAGAAAGAGAACTTATTTGCCTGGGCAGCTCATGGAAGGGGCAAGTAGCAGTTAAAATATGGCGGATGGGCAACCGGTGGCAAATGGGGAAACTGAAAGCAGAAGTTGGTCTTAGGTGGAAGAGGAATGGGTTCAGTTTGAACACGCTGAATATGCAGACAAGAATGTTAGTTGGTGACGCCAAGGATACAGATGTTGATTCTATTATTTAGGCACTTCCTTCTAAAAGGCCTGAAGACTATAGAAATCCAAGTCGGGTACTCAGGGAAGAGGTCAGGATCAACTCTCTGATGCCTCATTCATTTGCTCACTTAACAAATGTTACTAAGTATTTTTTACAAATATCCTGCTATCCTGGGTTCTGGCTCCAGGTAAGATGGAGTAAGCACATTCCACCCCATCCTTCCTGCTGGATACAACTCTAAACCTTGGACAGACTGCATGGAACAGCTATCTCAGGAATGTGAAAAGCAAATAATAGCCAGCAGATTGGGGAAGAAAACCAGAATTTAAAGTGCCACCAAATCAATAGTGAGCTTCACATTTTTTTCTCTCTCTGGAATCACGCAGACAGGTGTCCATCAGCCCAAAACATGAAAAAGAAGTGGGCATCAGTGGGAACAGACAGAGCTCCGGGGGGAGCCCTATACTTCTTACTCAGAGAGAATAGAGAAAAGCCCTCCTTTTTCATATTTTCTCCTTTCTGTTCTCATGTTCTAGGCCACAAGTGATCCTGAGTTAGTGGCAGTGAGAGCAGCAGCGAGGGTGGGAAGGAGTCCAAACTCTGAGGGAAAGGAAACTTTGGGTGTAACCAGAGGAAATGTGGCCCCATGAGGGCAGGGTGGCCCCTCTGCTCTTTCTTTTCCTTTCCCCCCTGACCCTCGGTCCATGATGAGAGACACCCTGTAGGAAAGGTGAGGCGAGGGGGTGTGTGTAAGTAAAGCCCCAGCTTTTTGGTGAGGGGACCAAAACGAAGTGCCCTGGGGATTGAAGAACACTGGTGGGGACGCAGGCAGGAAGGGGAGCACATAAAGTCGTTTATGAATTCCTGGATTCACCACTAAGGTGCACAGGTGTAGATCTGACCCTAAAGATTATGAGAACCTAAATACAAGCTAGGCAGCTGCCCGGTTCCGGAACAGGCCCCTGAACAGTGCGCCTGTGGGACAGACTTGAGGAGTGTGGCAAAAACCTTGAAAACGGAGTTTATACTGA